AAAATATACATTAAATACTAATTATAAAAACACAAATTCATAATAGAAAAATTATTTATTTTTATCGCAAAATTTGTCCAATTATTTAAAGTGTTTTCTGACATTTCCCTAAACCCAGTAATTAAAATCGCGTTACCCTGGTTTTACTCGTAAATTTCGTAAATTCTTATTTAAATTCGTAGGTTTATTTTTTCCACTGTACATGAGCGAGCAGGCGCGCTCTCATTTAATATGAAAGTCACAGAATGTGAGCTAATTGAAAACACTTGCAATATTTATGAGCCGAGCAACATGTTGCTATGCCACTTGACTCTGCTCAGAGAGAGCAGCAGCAGCAGCAGCAGCACAGCTGGCAACATGTTGCCAAGCTAATAAAACAACAAAATGATTTTATTATAATGGATTTATAACGCAAGCCAAGAGCAAACATGCTATTAGACAGAGCCAGGGATATATAGAGAGGGAGAAAGAGAGAGCGTGAGTGAAAGAGAGGGAGATGGTGTGAGAGAGAGAAAGACTGAGAGACCGGAGATAAATGCACTTTTGAATTGAGACGCAAAGGCGGCAGTCCATTAAGCGCAATGTTGTTGTCATCATTTAATGCTTTTGTTGCCATCCTTGCACTGATCAGCAAATTTTAAATATATATAGATATTTTTAGGAATAAAATACTAGCATTAGTATAATTTTATTTAGTTATAACATATTGTTAAGAAAAAAACAGAAGTAATGGACAGTTTTAAGCATGAATTCATGTTCACGTCAAACAATTTTTTTAAAGAAAACTTAACATTTATTTAGTTTAAAATAGGATTGTGTTATGTTTCGAAAGATAAATCTTTCTAAAATAGTTCAAATTAGTTATATTTAATCTATAAGCTCGTTAAATTTTTGTAAATACAATTTTTGTAGTGAGTTTTGCACATTTCTGGCAAGTTTTACGAGTCAACTTCATGATTTAAGCCAGATATATTTTTAATAATATCCTTTTCTGTAGTACAGTGTTCTTCTGTACTCCCCTCTCTCCACTCATATTTCTTTCAGTGTATTTGTGAGAGCAATTTCAGCTTTGCGTGTGCGCATTTGCAGCTGATGTTGCCGCTGCTGCTGCTGTTGTTGCTGTTGCTGTCTTGTCTGCAGCATAAATGGGCCCCCACAGCGTCTCCTTAAGTGGAGATATTTATAATAAGTTTATTTGCTTGTACTCGCCAAGGCAACGTGGCACGAACAACAACAACAACAACAACGAAACCGAAGGGAACTAAGGACAACAACCAGAGCGACTGCAACACCGGAACAGCCAACATGCAACATGTTGCCGTGGCTGCTTGGGATGTTGCCCAGCTTGTTTGCCGCTGTTGGGCATTCACATTCACAATCACATTCGCAGTTGTAAATTGACGTTTTGCGTTAACGACCGAAACGTAGCCGTTTGCCGTCGTCATCATCGCCGTTTTGCTTTGCGTTGCCTTGTTGCGTCGGTTCAAATCCCATCAGCAACATCATCAAACAAACAGAACAGAACAGAACGCTCGTGTTTCCGTGAACTCATCGCTTTTTTGCTGGCTGGGAAAGTAAGGCAATTTTCGTGTGTGTGTGAACTGGCAGCAAATCCGAATCCGAGTGTAAAGGCATCATCATCATCTGAGAAGCGGCATCATCCGCACCCCATGCAACGCACAATTTGTTTTGAATTGCAGCCTCAAAACATGATTTCATTTATGCAGTGATAAAAAACACAACTCAAGTGGATTTCTTTTAGGTATTTGGGAATAATTATTAAACAAAAATTATGGGCTTTTTTATAAAATTTAAAAATATTGAGGGAATATAGCCTAGAATGAAGGGTTTGTCAAGGCTAAGAAAGACTTTTAAAGGATTTACTTATGTCCCATTCATGAAATTATAGGTTTATATGAAAAATTATCAGAAAACTTTATACAATTTTATTAAATTATATTGCAAAATTATCATAAAACTAAATAGAATTTTATTTTTTTTAATTAAAAATGTAAAAAGCATACCAAAAATAGCTTAAATATTTTTAGCTTATTTATAAAAATCTAGAATTTAAAAGAATATGCTTATATTCACTTTCTAGGACTCTTATTGAAATTATGGTAGCCACAATTCTTGTTTAAATTGATTAAGTAAGCCTTAAAAAGTCTTAAAAAATATTAGAAAATAATTAAAACTAAAATTTGTGATAATTTCTTGTTAAAATGTTATCTCAAGACGTAATTATTTCCATTAAATCTTTTGCTACGGAACTCCAATTTCCTATAAGATAAGTAAAGTAAAGTAGTATCCTTATCCTTATTTTTTCCCAGTGCATCCGTGTTTATTTGAAGTGACTTCCACGTCGTTTCCTCCTCGCTCCCTTGTCTCGTTCATCTCGCTTCTATTCAAGTGTATCTAAATTGCTTCATCTTCGTTTTGTGCAGCAGCAGCAGCATCAGAATCTTGTTGATGTTATTTCTTGTTTCATATTTTCGAAGTTATTTTTAGCATTCTGCCCGCCCTTTTTTTTCAATCCCTTTTTGTGTGTGTGTGTGTGTGTGTGTGTGTGTGCGAATCCTCCTCAATTCAATTCAATTTGCAGCCCGTACAATTTAAATGAGCAATCAGGGCACTCACAGCTTGGCCATTGTTATTGCCGCCGTTTCAGTTGCTGTATGTTGCTATAGCCTCGGCGGCGACTCCCATTGTTGCTGCCATTGGATGCCCTAATGATGATGCTGGGGGGCTTAAACTGTTGCTCCGGCAATCGAAACGCGAATAAGAGTTCATTGGGTTCATCTGACCGCCAGCAGATTAGGTTCCCGGGAAAACAACAACATAAAAACAGCAAAAATAAAAATCTAAAACCCAAAACCCAAGTAATTAAAGATTGTTATCTTCGATGGCAAGCTAGAAATAGCAAAGTAATTATTTTGGATGGAACCAACTCTTTATAATTAATTTCTAGGTTGGACAATTTTCAACTAAATAGATTTTAAAATCATTAAAAAAATTTTTAAATACTCAAACTAAATTGCAGATTATATATTAAATATAAAATAATCCTAGGTTTATTTTTACGTTCTTTTTAAATAATTTCCTATCGATAATACATCACCTTAAATACATAATCGGTAATTTCATCAGCTGTAATTTATGATAATCATTGGAATTTCATTTATTTCACCAATTGAATCCAATTTAATCATTCGCGAATATAGAATTCGCGATAACCTAAAAATAAACGGCAATCAAACATTCATGGCCATGAGTAATTGGCCTTATCAAAAGCATAACATCGCCCCATTAATAATCGCACCCTTATAGCTAATTGAGCTGTCGCCCCTCTTCGTATAACTTATAATTATTATTAAAAAAAAAAAAGAGAAATAAAAAAGACACGCACACACTCACGTTGCTGACTAACAACAAATTGAATTACGACACATTCCTGTAAAGACAATGAATGGCTTTTGTGTGTGCGGTGACCCAAAGCGACGTTCTCAGGAAATGAAATTATACACCAATTATTGCCAACAACGGCAAACGGCAACAGCAAGAGCCAAAGCAAAGGCAAAAGCAAAATGCTTTTAAAGAAATTGGAAAGAGGCAGCCACCAGCCCAGCCAGGGTGGCTCGTGGTCGTTCAGACTCCGTTTGAAATGTGAAGCGAGCGAGAGCGGTGGATATGGCAACGAAATCTCAATAATTAATCAAATAATAAATCTCGGTGAGCAATTAAGAGGAGAAAGACAAAGCCAGCGAACCGAAAGGCCGAAAGCAATAAAAACCATTGAAAAGCCGTTGGCTCAGCATTAATTAGCGCTAAACGCCGTCGCAACACACAACATCGTCAAGCAGCAGCAGCACGGCAGCAACATGAACTCCTCGAAAGCAGCAACAGCAGCAGCAACAGCCGCAGCAGCATCCGCCGCCAACTTATTAAAGTATGTACATATAACTCAATTATGGAGAATTAAAAACAAACTCACACAGCCAGCGAACGTCGGCAATTTGCAATGCAAAAGATATACACTGAAAGTACATAGAGATTTTGATAAGAAATCAAAATTCTAGATTAAAAAGGGTTTATAAAAATATTATAGGAGTTATTTATTTGCTTTTGGATATTAAAGAAATATTTTGTGTTAAATTATGGGAAATTATTTAGGCTTTTTCTAGTCCTTAAAAAGAATATATATTACGAACTTTTACACCTCTATCGTAACAACATTTCAAAGAACATAATTTTATAAAAATTTATAAAGATTGTTAAAAAAAAATCTACAAAAAATATATTACAAAAAATCGCCTAATAACTCTCTAAGAAATGGTTTTAAAAAAACATATAATAATGGTGATGAAAGAAACATCAAATAAAGCTTAAAAAAATAGGAATATGCTTTTCTGCCAAAAGTAAAAATCAAAAGAATTTCCCTCCGTGTACCACGGATAAACTGAGACGCTGCGCCCAGGCAGGCCAGCAACAATCAAAGCAATAAAACACATTCAGCATTTAATAATCATGCCAACAACGAGCCAGAGAACGAGCCAGAGGGAGCCCATCACACACAGCCGTTCGCTTCGTTCCGTTCTCACTCGAAAAAAAAAAATGAAACTCAAAGATACGCCACGAATGACGTTAGCAACATGTTGCTATGCTTGGCCCCCCCTCAGCCGAAATTTATGAGCGCTTCTCGGCATTCAAACACACAACACTCCGAAAGCACGTTCAACGAGATACAATTAAGCCGTAATGCATATGAAAATTTGTGTTTTATTGCCGTGCGTTATGTTCACGTGCTCTGGCAACAGTGTGTATCTATCTATCTCTATCTGTGTGGCTATAGTATAGCTCGCATCCGTATCTCTCTGCGCACCATAATTGTAATTATAGTAATATGTTTTATGATGGTTCGTTCTCGTTCCTCGTTTAGCAACCCCCGCACGCACAAACACACACACAGAGGCAGAGGCAGAGACAGTGTCTGCGTTTGGCCGAAATGTATCTAGATACATAATTGCCACATTCAGTCGTCGTTAAATAGTTGCACGGCGCAGTTCATACACAAGAGCAGCAGCAGCAGCAGCAGCAGCAGCAACAGCAGCAGCAACAGCACCAAGCAAGCACCAAGCAGCAACATTAGCAACAATCATCGTTGTTGTCGTCGTCGTCGTAGTCGCCGTCGTTTCAGTCGTCGTCGTTTTCGTGCTTTATAGCGCTCGCACTCACAAGTCGCTCAGAATCGCTGCCGTCGTGGTCGTGGTCGGTATCGGTATCGGATTCGTACTCGGAAATCCAGTTTACCCTCCTCTAGAGAGTTTTCGTCTGTTTTTGGCGTTTAATTTTTGCCGGTAAATCTCGCGACTTCCCCCACAGAGTCTTGTTATTCAATTAAAGCGTTAAATATTAAGAAGCAAAGCAAGAAAAACAAAATATTATAATTAGCCATGAGGCCATAGAAAAGAATGGGACTGCTGGTGGTAACTTAACTGAAATGAATTGAACTGAACAATCGACCCCCTCAGTGTACTATTTTAATTAAGTGTGTGCCGCAACAACAACAACAACAAAAGCAATTATAACAGCAACAACAACAACAACCATAACAAGTCACGCATATGTATCTGTATCTGTGTATCTCTTAGTGTGCCGCTTTTGTGTCCATTAGTCACACATGAAACTAATTAGCATTTCGTCGTCTGTTTGTTATTGTCGCGTTTGCTGGTCAAAAGAATTAGCGCGGGCAAACGGGGCAACGTCAAGCGCCATTATGCGATATCCCCTATATATGTAGTATATGTATATACAATAATTTGGTATTTATATATACCATAGCGCTGCTCTGGGATTCTTTCTTCTTTTAACAACTCAATTTTTTGTTTTTATTTACGCGCCCCATCATTTCTTTTATGATTTTTCGCTTGGAATTTCCCCATTAATTTGTTTATTTTGTGTGCGGCGACGCGTCGCTTGATTCCCACCGTCGGCAATCAGCAATCGAGTTTATAAGAAGACGGCACAACATGGTCAGCACAATTAACCAGCTCATCATCAAAGCCGAAACAGCAGCAATATCAGCAGAAGCAGCACACAGCACCAGCAGCACAGCACAGCACAGCAGCTACATCAACGGAATTATTAGCGACAAAAAAATATCACTGAGACAACTTCTAGACAACATAAATGAAGTCTTAAATATAAAACAGACCACTATAACTACATTTTCTTGTTACTTAACCTTCAATTTAAGCTTAAACCCGTTGGGAATTCTAAGCATCGATGCGAAGGCAATTTTATATTTTTAATAAATTTTTGACAACTTTAAACATTAAAGTCAAATTTTAAAGCCTAATATTTGCATTTAAACTATATTTAATAATAACAAATTAAATTTGTATGTATTTCCAAGTTTCCTGCTCTCCTTTTTTCATTCCCAACTTAACCTGTAAACATTTTTCTTGCCGTGTAAGCACTTCTGCCTATTGACGCTAATTGCTGGCTGGCGTATCTGCAAGATACTTTGGTCGCTCACACCTCACCGCCATTGTGTGTGCGCTGCTGTTGTTGTTGTTGCTTTGGCGTCGGCTTTTCTGCGCTGCGTATTGTGTGTGTGTGTTTGTTTTTTTTTTTTTCCTTTATTTTTTTGCAGTATTTTTCATTTTTTTGTTATTGGAGGTTCGCACGCTCTGGACAGTGCGGCAATTTGTCAACGCGAGGCGTTCGCTGACAGGTTACGCAGCCGCACTGCCGGCAATTGATTTTCAATTCATTTTATTTGGCACACAAACACACACAACACACACACACCGGTAGCTCTCATAAATAAATTATAAAGCAGCAGCAAGCATGTGCAAAAAAGGAAATTTTGCATTTACATTTTGATTTTCATTTTCATTTTTGGGATGAAAAATATTTCAATTACTCAATTAAATTCGGTTGAACAAAAAGGTGTTATAAATAAAGCATTCATTCGGCTCAGTGTGTGAGTGTGATTGTGATTGTGAGTGCTATTATGAGTGTGTGATTGTGATTGTAACGTAATTGAAGTCCACTTTATGGTCGGCCGTGTGTTCGTTTCCCATTAATTACGCGGCCAGGCCATAAATGCTGTCGCTGCTCACTGGCTTATATTAATAATAAATAAGTAAGAGTAAATAAATAAACTATATAATGGATATAAAACGCTAAGGCTGCCATTTAAGTGCCAAAAAGTTCAACACAACCAGCTGAAAAGCGTATAAAAAATATTTAATGTTTAATGTAAAACAAAACAATTAAGCGAAAAGCAGTTTAAAAAAAAATATAAACAAACAAAACCAAAGTGAATTTTAAAATGTGACCCCTCAAAAGAAACACTAAAATTTCGCCGTCGGTACTTTGTCTCACAGAAGATTTCCTGAAATGTCACACAAAATATATACATACAACTATTTTAATTTAGACTTTCAAGGAATTACGAATGCAATTTAATTAAATACACACAATGTAAAGCTAACAAATGTTTTCACTTGTCTTTTGGTCTTACAAAGAAGAGAAAATGCAACAATCAAGTGCCTAATATATATATTTGAGTTAAGCGCATTTGGCAAATTAAATATTTCGCCACATTTTCAATATTTTAACGAGGCCAAAACAGGCGAATTGATAAATGAACACGAGACACGAAGTGAGGCAAGCGATTGCACAATAAATACAAATAAATTTAATTAAATTACAAAAGCATTATGCAGATAGAAGCGAGACGAGACAATGGGCTGCCAATTATGAAACCAGAACGCATTTCGAAAATAATTAAAAATTAAATAAATGAGCAACGTGCAGCTAATGCTGAAAAAAAAAAAGAGAGAAACGGCGAGAAAAAATACGAAAAAGGCCAGCCAAAATACATTAAAATTAATTCGCAAAAGCGCAAAGGCAAAACAATAATCAATAATTGTCAATTGGCTGGCTAATGAATTAATTACATTTATCTCTCCCGCTCTCGTCTTTGTGTCTCTTTTCTTTCATTTGTCAATTATTTTGTATCGTTTATTTTATATATTTTTTTGTATGGCATTTTGCTCTGTCTTTTTTCTGGCGGCTACCAAAGGCAATTTAATTAGGGAAAGTGGATTAATTTGCAACTCGTTAGACTAATTAAGGATTATAATCAGCAGCAGCAGCAGCACACAAACCAACGAGCCATGTAAAACGTCAGCGAAAAGGATAACAAAAAAGTGAAAAACAAAAGAAAAACCAAAAGGAAATTAAAACTGAATAAAAAGCACAGTGCGCCCACACATACCCGCGCGGCAATAAGGTGACCTTTGAAAGCCAACTATAAATAGATCGGCCATAAAAGTCGTTTACCACGAAACTACAACGAGAGTAAAAGCAGTGAGAAACGTTTAATTGGATTTTGGATACCACACCACCAAGAGAAACATCAACCATCCGCCCGAGTGGCCCCCTCACAGGTGAGTTTTACAGCGAGTACTTTTCCTATACAGAAATTATTTCAGGGAATTCCTAGAAATCTTACTATAGTGACAGGTCAAAGCCCAAGTCCTGATAAGGTATCACAAACATAGGCTTGCCGGATTCTAATCAATACTTTGATTACCTTGATTAAGCTGGGTCACACGTGTAATTGTATTATATTTATTCGGACAAACGCTTGGGTATAATAATACCAAAAAAGAAATGTGGGTTAAAGTTCAATAGATTTTCTAGGAAATACATTGTTTATAAACTGATAGACAGCTGCCGACCCTTGGCCTAAAAATTAATCTCAATTAAAAATTATAAAAATGTATGCTTTGCTATTTTTGAGACTTTCAGATAACACAAACTGAAATAAATAATAAACAACTATTATTTTAAATTAAAAAAATAATAGACAGCTGCCTAAAGTTTTAATTCCTTTTAAAATATTTATCTTGCTCAACTTCTACAACATTTTTCTTGTCAATTAGTTGAATATTCAAGTTAACATATCAAGTCTAAAATGAAAGGGGATTTGTCTCTTGACAAAAAAGTCATAAAATAGGCCAACAAACCTTTAAAATCAGATAAGAATATAGTTAATAGGGGAGCAGTTTTATACAGAATATTTATATATTTATTTTATATCAACTGGAAACTCCCAAAAAATAAATTGACCCATCGAACATGATAAATTACTTAAACTCTTATCACAACAACCCATTTAAACCAATGAGATATCAAATTAGTTAAATTTCTCTGTAATCACGTTGTTGACATATAATTAATTTCAATTTCATGATGATGCCGCTGCTTTTTGCGGCCCCGGCTCTCTTGTAAATGTTGTTGATTTTTGGTGCTGCCTGCACACTGATGACTACGTTAAAATGAGCTGCAAAATTGTATTTATTTTGTTACCCGCACTCCGTTTTCCAATTCTACATTCCCAATGTTGGTTGAGGCATATGGCAATATGGGCTGGATCAGCACTCTTGCCATTTATTACGGGTTTAGTAATCGCAATCGGGGAAAACATTGCCCTGACAATTGCAGCAACTATTCGGAATGTAAACAAATGATTACCAGAACCCGTAATAATAATAATAATAATAATGCTAAAGAAACAGAAACTGTCAATGACTGTGCATTTAGTTGAGTGTAAACTTCGGGAATATATGGGGATAATAATCGATGTGTTTGGGAGCAGGGATGATCACTAAATAACTATTTTAGAGCCACAGTGAACAAATTTAGGCTTTTAAGTTTCAAAGTAATTTAGAAATAATGCTTAACATTCAAGAAATAATACCTATTATTATAATATCTCAGCTGAAAAACCATTTCAATCAAATTGAATTTTATTTACAAGGCCAAAAACACTCGTTTAAACCAAGTTTATCATTTTTCTAAAGACTTAACAAGCCATAATAAATGCCAAATTAAATGTTAGTCAAGTGCTTCGTTTATTTTCCAATTTATTAGCCAGCAGACATTTAATTTCCATTACTGACTAACAATTAAAAGCCCGAAGCTTCGAACTTTTGCGCTTGAAAAGGCACTCACTCGATCTTTGATTGCCTTAGTTATGGTAATGTTTTTGCTTACACTACAAGCAGATACTATATGCCTCACAGATACGTTAGTCAAAGTCTCTGGGTGTGTGTGTGTGTGTGCTAATTACCATGCCGAGATAACAAAACTTAATATGAGTGCAAAAACTGGCTTTCTCTTGCCATCTGATATCTCTGGTATCTTTCCGAGCCCAGTCATCGTCCGAATATGGCCTTTAATTGAGTCATGTCATGAGTATTAGGCATAATTAAAAGGCAATTTCATTCAGATCCCAGGGAAATGTGCGTGCGTATGTATCTAGCATAATATCTAATATCTCTCGGCGGCACACACAACAGGTTCGCATTACGTACTGAAATTAATTAAATTGTTACTCAAACCGTTCTCTGATTGACTGACACAGACACGGCTGACACTTGACGCGATGAATGAATGGATTGCCATGGCATGGAATAGCATGGAAACTGGTCAGTCTGGATCCGCTATATAGCACTCGCAAAAATATGCGACTGCACAAACAGAACTCGAACTCGAACTCGAAGTTGGACTCTCGGCCATTTGGCATTTGAATGGGTTCGTTCCGCCGCCTCGATTACGCAAAAATGTAAATAGGGAAAACACTATATGCAAAAACAGCAAAAGCATTTGCAGCTCTCATTACAATCATCACACATACACACACCAGAGGCTGCTGCCTGCATTTTTTCACGCTAATAATGGCAAATAATAAACAAATAATGGAAATAACGCAATGGTCAATAGCTGAAAGCAGAATGCATAAACAAATGGATCCATTTGAATAATGCCATTAATCGATTCTGCACATTTTTGATACGCTTAATCACTAAATGGGACTTGGTACTTGGGGAAATTTAGAAGAATTAATCTTTAAGATGGAATTTATGAAATAACTGAAATTTATTAATGATTAATATATATAGAAATATTTAAAGATTATATTATTATTATTTTTTATATTTTTTTTAAATTTAAATATTTTTTTTAATTTTTATTATTTATCCCTTTTTATGTTTTTATCATTTTAAATTTTTTCTTTTATTTTTATTACATTTTTGTTTAATAAAACCTAATAAATAATTCAAATTTCCGAAAATAAGATCTTTAATTGATATTTTCTATATTAGTGAAATAGATTTAAAAGGTCTTGGAACTTAACTTGGATTTCATTAAAATATTTCCAATATTTCCTTTTATTTTAATAATTTAATTGTCACTTAATAATTTCTATTTATTAATTAAACCCTTTTATAGCCAACACAAACCATTTAATCATTAATTTGATATTTAAAAGCTTATAGAAAAATATATTCAAATCTTATTGGGCCTCTTTAATTAGCACACTGAATCATAAATTATCCATTCTCAATGTGATAGTTAAGGCCCTGGCTGCCAGCTCAGTTTATTTATTAATTACAAGCTGAACTTTCTTACTCCTCGGACTCAAAGAGTCGGCTACAGCTCAAAGACCCCCACAGTCCAGTCCCTCCTCCCAATCCCCTTCATTCCGGACTCCCAAAGAGCAGACACACACACATACTTACTCCCTTACGGCAAAAGCAGAGCCGCCTCGCTTGATGATGGCAGCCGGCGATTACAGCTCTGCTGATGAGTCACGCAATTAAACGGCGCACATTAATATGAAATGCCAACGGGTTGTTGGATGGCGAAAAGTCTGGGGAGCCACTTACACAGCACTTGCTTATATGGTGGATTTTTATGGCAGCAAAAAAAAAAAAAAGGAAAGAAAATAAAATAGGGAAGAGAACAGGACTGGGTTCGAGCTCGGCTCAATGTGAAGCTCTGTGGGCAAGTGCTCTGGTTTTATTTTACGTTTGTTTTTTATATTTTTTTTGCGACAAAAGTCAAGACTCTGTCGGGTCCATTTGGCACATTTCTAATCAGGCGGCAACGATTTCCGAGAAATCGAGGCATAAGCCTACAAACACTCACTCAATCAAGTCCGCTTTGCGTTGCGTTGAGTGACGCTGTTGCTCGTCGTCGCCATCATCGTCATTCACTTAAGCGGACAGTTGAAAAATAAAACTAATTAGCCAGCCAAAGGCAGTGCCAGTGTGTGTGTGTGTGTGTGTGCCGCCGTTTTTGCAATTCAATCAATATCAATTGGCAAATTTGCATTTTGCATTCAGTAACAAGTCCATTTAAGTGCTCGCACAGCGTGCAAATTGGACCGCAAGTCGAGTTTTCTGCAGCCATGTATCCGTGTATCTAATTAATAATTATGACCATTATGAGCCAGTTGGGTTTTTGGCTTTATCTGCGGACCAATGCAGTCGGGACTGGTTCAACGGCTTCCGCACTTTTGCCAGTTTGGCCAGAAAAAGAGACAAAAAAAAAACCAAAAATGTAACTTTTAATTGAAACTCTTTTTTGGCCTGAAAAACGCACAATTGCATTTGGAGATGTATGTAAATACAGCCGTATACGTGTGCATATGCTCAATTGCTTTCGAAAAGCCGATAAAAAAAATATAAATAAATTTCCACAGCAAAAAATATATATGTAAATATAAACAGTTGTGGGTAGAATAATAGTAAAGATTTTAAAAAGTGATTTTAAAGATGTTTTAAGCAGAAAATTATTAAGAAGATACATGGATAGTAGTGGGAGATGTATATAAAAGTCTTTAAAGTAGTTAACAAGAAGTATAGGTCTTAATTTTTAAATTTTAAAATTTTTTTAAAATCTATTTTACAAAATTTGAATGAAAAATAAATGTTAATTTTTAATGTCTTGCCTTCTGAAGTGTTAAGATTAAAAAATAACCCGTTATGCTTATGATTTTTTGAGCAGAAAAATATTTTCTGGTAAACTTCATTAGTTTTAAGCAAGAACATATATATTTTTAATGTTAAATGCATTTATTTAATCAATATATTAAATATATATTCAATTTAAAAAATTATAAAAATTAAAAGATAATACAAAATAGTATGCTACTTATTTTTCCGTTCTTTGTAATTTCACAAATCTCCCAAGAATCCCAAAAATATCTCTAAAATATTTTCCATTGACCTCAACTGTTTATATATTGCACATTTATTGGGAATAACTTTGTTGTTGAACCGAAACTGGCCCGACATCAAATCAAATTGAATGAACGCGGTCCATTACTCTCCCAGTGATTTTGCCAAATGACTTCATTTCATATCAATTAAGTTTATTGTGCCGGTGTCTCTGTCTGTCTGCCCCTACGTTCCATACAGAAACAAAAAAAAAAAAAAAACCCACGCCGCAGTCACACAGATACAGAGAGATACGCAGATACACAGATACAAAGATACATTGCCCTGCCCTGAAAAACCGAACGAACCTGATTCATGCGCTTAATTGCTTTGGAGCGTGTGCCGCCTGCCGTCACAAAAATACAAATAAAAAAAGTAAAATCGCAGGAGAGAAAAATAAAAGCAACAAAAATTAAAAAAGGTATAGTATGAAATCGAATTGTGCACACAAATGGGAGCAGCAAAACTTATGAGTTCGCCGCTGTAAATGTATCTGTATTTGCCCGCGTATCTGTATCTGCCACGGCAACAGCAACGGCAACGGCAACAGCGACGGCGACTTTCAATAAAAATGACAACAACGCTTTTTGACAGTAGGTACCGAGCGGAGTAGGGAAACGCTCATAAAATATGCCGGCCGGTCCGACCTGGGCACGCCAATCTTCCAGTCACATAGAGTTTGGGGATAAACGAAAGGGAAATTGAATGAAGAAACAACAGAAAGAGGCATTAAATGAAATTCAAATGGAAAGATCAACTTTGGATACCAGGGGCAGACAGCATCCATCACAATCTATGGATAAATAAGGAAAGCAAACATTCCTTTAGATGCGGGAATTGAAGAAAAAACAGGAGAGGTCTTTTGAAATTCCCACAGTTAAAAGGGTTATATTAGCTTATAAAATTTAGGAAAGGTTTAGCATAAGATTTTAAGTTGGAAATGATTTTTTGAGATTAATTTAAAATATTGAACAAATACGAATTACGAATTTATTAATTTTTTTTACAACCACACTATTTTTAGTTCAAGAAATGATTATTTTAAATCCTATTTCACTGCCTTATCACTTGTTTATGCTTTAGGTTTAGTAAACAAATTGTTTTTTATAAAAGAAAATTGTGTTTTATTACACCTTAAGAGCGCTTTTCAATTTCTAATCACCCTATTAAACGACAACTATTTATTTTTAATTGATGGTTCTAAGGATTGCTGTTTTCAGTTTGTAAACAAAATTTAATTGTTAAGAAAACTACACAAACCTTTTTATAAACAAATATATTCATATGTTAGTTCCCTTTAATACAAGAAAAATGTTAAATATCTGGAAATCATTTCCATAAGTTAATGCAATTATATTTAAATAAACAAATAATATTTGATCTTTCTTTGGAAAATTGTATTAAATTTCTTAATCTTCTTTTTGCTTAAGAAATTTTATAATTTTGATATTTAATACACAACAAAAAATGCTAAAAAAAACTCAGATTTCATCAAAACCTCTCCAATCTCAAATATTTCCTAAATAAAAATACAAACAAATTTCCAGCTAAAAGATATTCCCACGAACCCTTTTTTAGGAAAACCAATTTATTTCTTATCCTCAAAATGCCCGCTTAATTATGTTAATAATAACATGCGATATCAAATAAATGCCATTTTTTTCTGGCTGCTTATCTCAAGAAACCAAGCCCACAAATTTTTCGTGTGCGCTCATTATAACCCTAATTTCGGTGACCCACAAATGCAATTAAGTTTTGCGATAAAAATAGACATTTTATGTGATTTCCTTTCCATCAAACACACTCACTCAATCAGTCAGTCAGTCAATCAGTCAGTTAGTCAATCGGTGAAACTCACCCCCAAAGCTGTGCAATCAATCTTAGATATTGTCGTTCTGGGACGGACTGATGTTGATAAGAAACGACAACGCAATTAGATAGCCGGTCGCAGCGATAAGCGAAGCAAGCTGTTCGTTCGTTTTTTTTTTTTATGGATCGCCGCCCCAGAGCCGAACTCATAAAAAGACAACCGCTCTGCTCCGCAAATTGCCCCGCTGGCTGAGCTCAGGTTTCCACAGAAATTTCATTTATGGCTCGTTAATTAGCTCGGCAAATAAACGATCCCCGGACAGGGCAGGCAGTTCGTTGAGCAAACAAAGAAACACGAAAAGCGTTCAATCATTTTTTGAAAAGTCGCGCCACAACCAAGCTTTCCAACACACTTTTCAGTGGTTGATTTTGCAACACTCTGAGAGCAGCTGGAAGAAAAAACAGCTGATCCCCCAGTTTTTCACCGGCACGTTGTCAAGCTCATATTGTGTTTGGTCAAAATAAACAAATTTTTGCCGGAAAAGTGCGTTATCTTGTAGCCTAAACTGTGTAGTCATAGCAACCGGTGTTTTAGTTGTTTGTTGTTTGATTAACAACGTTCTCTCACATTCTCGTTTTGCAGCTAAACAAAAAAGCTGAGAGAAGAGGCTTAACAACAAATCGAAAGCAGCCGGCGAAAAGGTATCTTCTAGAAGAAATCCCTGCAAAAAGTATCTTAAAGTTGCCGCTGAAAAGGAGAAATTAATCATAAATATCTGCAAACTTAAAATAAATAAAGAATGCAAATAAAAACGAGACATAAAAGTAAAGCAAGTATAAATATTTAATCTATGAAACTAAAAACATCTCCTAACTTAAAAACTAAAAACTGGGAAGAGAAAAACTACTTAAAATAATAAGAAAATATATTAAAAACAAGAAAAGTAAAGTAAAGAAAGAATCAAGGAAAAATTAATGCAAATAAAATAAAAAATATAAGAGAAAAAGTATTAATAAATGTTAAAAATCTTAAATACCTCTTAAAAGTCATTAACATCTAAATAATAGCACACATAAATTTACAAATCCATGAAATTTAAATATAAACAAGTATCTTTAAACAAAAATCAGGAATAAATCCCATCAGCATTTAAATACAAATACTAAATAAATATTTAAAAAAATCAAAAAGTAAGTTGACATTCACATAAAAATTAATATAATTCAAAAACATTCAACAATAAAGGCGAGAAAAAATCCACATAAATCCCCAAAGAACCCAATTTTCAAATATACAGCACCATGACCTTAGAAATCGACACCCAAAAGATATGCGATCAGCTGGAGGGCACTGATCGCCGGCAGAAGACCAAGGCTTTGGAGGAGCTGCGTGAGCTCTTGGAAAATACCGCCGTGAGCACCGAGGAGATGGCCGCCAGCTTCGATGAGTTGTACCTGCACCTGTTGAAGTCCTACGACGATCGCTTCGAGAGCGTTCGCGGTCAAGCCGTTCAGACGGTAAATGCTTTTCTGAAGCGCCTGCCTCCCATGGATTTTCATCTCTTAAACGTAGTCTCCACTTTGGCCGAGCGTATGGGAAAAGCCGAGACAGTGGAGCCGAGTGAGGAGATTCGCCTGATCTACATTGGCCAGCTGCACTTGATGATTTGCCAGTATGCAAAGATGGGCAACGTTGGCGTCTTCCGGGAGTGCTATCCCCAGGTGACCAAGATCCTGATCAAGTCCATCAAGGATGACTATCCGCTGGTGCAGCGTGAGGGCTGTGCTACGTTTGTGGATCTCGCCAAGGTGGCTGATACCCAGGAGTTGCGTCCGTTTACCGAATCTCTGGCCGTGGCTCTTTATGGAATGCTAAATCACAAACATGCTCCGGCCAGAATCTCGGCCGTGGAGGCTATTGGACGACTGAGTCTTCACATGGATGCCAGTGGTGATGGCATGCGGAGGCTGTTCAACGAGGTCTCTCCCCTTCTGATGGACACCATGCCACTGGTTCGTCGCGAAGTGGGTCAGATGGGCATACTTATGCTGCTGGAATTACTGGATCGTTACTCCTTCTTTGAGAGAATCTTGCCACTGGTTTTGTGCTGCCTAAAAGACGATTCTCCGGAGGTCCTAAGCCATATTTATCCACAGTGGCTCAAGTGCGGAGAACTGTACTACGAGGAAAACGAAGCCGAGTTGAGCAAACAGGAAATAAGTGATCTTCCTGTTGAGAATTATCCAGAGAATGTGAAGCGCCCTACGATAGGATGTCGCGGATTGGTTCAACGTTCTTTGAGATTATTGACACTGATTACCCGGGAGACTAGCGATTGGAAGGACAATGTGCGTCTGCACGCCCTAAAGCTCCTCTATCAATTTGTCCTCCACGCCGAATCGGCCATGACAGCCAAGTTCTTTGAGATCTACGGGGATTTGGCCCATGTCTGCATTGATCCAGTGGCCGAAGTCGCTGCAGAAGCTGCCAAGGTATCGGATTTACTGGGACGCCTGTTGATGTACGATGCTTGGATTGACCACGGCTTTGATGGTTTGGAACGTAATGCCCGGGAGTCGTATATGAGATGCTTCTACTACATGTTCACCTCGGCCTTGGGTGGCACTTATGAACAGTTGAATAAGATAGCTAAACTTCTTCGGAGCACCGATTACTCGCACACCTTGAAGCCAGGTTTCCAGGAATATATACTCAAACTTCTGGATACCGTGCTGGATAAGTCCCTGAAGATTAATGCTGGACAGGAGGAGCTGCAGGAGCTTTACGAATCTGTTTATGTGAGTGGCATCAAGGTGAATGCCTTGCAACATTCCCTCTCTGAAGATGTGAGCCAGGGAAAACTTCTGATCGAAAGAATTGCCAAACTGGAACAGATTTCGGTGGGAAAACTTCATGAACGTTGGTTCCATCTGGCCCTGCTGGATGTGGAGAATCTGGATGCTTCGTTAGAGGACACTGCTGAGCCTGTGATGCTGCTAGATGGTTTGATAAATATTTGTCATCTGCGAGCCCCCTATATGGCGGATCTCATCAAGAAAGTCCTGCTGGTCTTCGAGCATTGTTGCGATAGTGCCCATGTCAAGGTATTCAGTAGCCTGTCGATGGCATCGCTAATTTGGTCAGAAACCATGGGAATAGAACGGGAGCAGAGCACTCAGGTACTGGCGGAGTTTGTCACCCAGATTGTGGAACCCTATCTGACCTGGAAGGCCGGTTCCAGTGCCGAGGCTATGAGATCTCTGGCCATGGCCACTCTGTGTGCTCTGGCCCAAGGTGCAGAGTCAGAGGCTGTGGAAGTCCTTCCATCCTTGGCCAAACATATGCCAAGTTTACTCGAAGATCGTAATGTAACCACACGTCATTATGCCATCAAAGCTGTGGTTTATTTTCGTGGAATGTCCGTGGAGGACCTCAAACCATTGGCCTATGCCACCATGCAACGAATGGATGATCCTTCGGCGGGCATACGCAGCCTGGCTGCCTTGGCTGTGGGTAAGCTGAAGCCCAAATTCAAGGAGGATTCCGAGGAGGAGTCGCAGCACGAGAAGGAAGTCTGGGAATCCTTTGTCAAGCGAGCCATGGATTTGCTTTTGCTTTATCACGAAAGCCCGGAAAAGGACATCAAAGCGGCGGTGGAGAGAACCCTCAAGGAGCTGGCCCAATCTCATCCAGAGGCCTGGGAGGAGCGCTACAAAAGGGCCTTGGCTATGGTTCAGAAGAAGGATAAACTCAGTGAACTCTACGAAAAGTTAACCATCAAAGATGAAGCAAATGAAGTTACTGAATCTTAAGATCTTAATTTTGTTCTAAAATTCTTAAAAGATCTAACAATCAATTGAAAATTCAAACGTTTAAGCCCATTTCCCGTCATTATTTACATTGTAATTGGCTTCCAATGACTTGTATATGTTCGATTCCAAGTACTGTGAATTATTGTAAACAAAAACCAACGAAACTATAAAGTAAAATCTGTGTGCACTGACGAAATTGCAAGCATAAATCTCAAGCAATCTCTTGTTTATTTTGCCAGCGGCCAAAAATAATCCGTTTGATGATGAATTGGGTTGGAAAATAGGAACAAAAATCGTAAAGCAAAAGGCTGAAAAATAACTGCAATTAATATACAGCACAATGTTGGGTTAAATACTCTTGATAAATATACGAAATTTATAAATAGAAAGTACATATTTGGGTTGGAGAAACAATAGAGAGAGAGAGAGAGAGAACTGAACGTAAAACGTTTAAATGTTTTAAATAATAACCAACTTTACAGCTTAATAAGCGGGCTAAATTTAATTGTTACAAACATTAACATCCTCCAACAATTAAAAGCTCACCCACACCTCATCTGGCGGATTGTTGAATGAAATTACATTGTTATATATGTGTTATTAATCCTCTGAATGATGGTGGCGCAACCGAGTGTTAAGTCCTTAACAAGGCCTGCACTGCCTGCAGGAATGTTGCATAACTTTCAGCGTTGCGTCATTAAACTGCATTCGAAGTCGCATTGGATTGGTTTTCCATTCAACAAAGTCACGACCCAATTTCCTGGGCAACGGGAAAAACTAATTTGCGCCGCTATGCAGCCGAAAAAGTTTGCACACTATATTAAAACAATTTGTCAAATTAGGCAAAATGTACAAGTTTCTAATTAAAATACCCACACGCGCGCACACGAGTTACATAGAAGAGTGTGTGTGTGTGTGTGTCTGCTTGGGGGAGAAGAGTCCTTCAAATGTACAGTGGGACCTGAAATATGTGTCCTTTTTGGGGTTTTTAATGTTAGGATTTAATTTAAAAAACTTGTGAAATGTATTTACGAAAGAATTTTCAAGGAATTATCAAGGAACTCACAAAAAAAAGTCTAAGTTCTTTCAAATAATTACCAATTATTATTTTTTTAAAAAGAATTCTTAGATTTTTCTCCATAAAATACCTAAATAAACTCCAAAGAGTAAAAAATATATCTAAGAAATCTACAACAACCCTGTAAATCTTATCCAGGCTCCACTGTACATCGACAAAGTTCAGATGGCGCCATTTGAAGCGTCTGTCTCCGTCTCTTTCTCTGCTCTTAATTGCTGGCAAATGAGCGGCACAAGCTTTTTTTTTTGTATGGGGTAGCTTTGGGGTTCGAGAAGTGGGTGTTATTCAGGAGATAAGTATGCGAATGTGTGTTCGTACACATCACATACGAAAATGACTAACTGCAAATAAATGTAAGCAGCTGGATAGGATATCCTTGGCTGATTTGTTGCCTAGAGCTTAATTAATTTTATTTCACATTTTCCGTCGAGGCTAATTATTAATACATATTTCTGCAATTAGAGAGCTCGCAACCACTTTTTCTGCGTCGCGTCGGTAGATGATCTTTATGGCGGGATATATTAAATTAAAATAAATGCCAGGGGGATGGGGCTCTTTGGCAGCTCTTCTTCGCATTGTTATGGCAAAGCACATTTAACTAATTATGCCGAACTCCGGGCTTCAAAGACCGTGCGGACCGTGGACTGTGCAAACGAAGCGAGCTCGCTGAGAGCGGCGGCCACCCACAGACGTCAGTTGTCAGTTTAATTAATCCCTTTCAGTGGCAGGCAGACCGAAAGCTGCATTTTACACTGGAAAGCAACTATTTGGTAATATTTTTGGATAAATTTTCTAAAAAATTGAATAAAATTGAAGATCAAATTTAAATTTAAAATTTCATTTTCATTTCTTTGAGATTTTTATTATTTAAAAGTATTATTAAGATATTTTCTGTTTACTTTCAAAGGTTTTCAATCACTTTTACTACTTCATATACCTATACCAAGTCTTAACCCACATTTTTCGTGATGATCTGACCCACCTGTTGGCATTTTTCCCAGTGTATTTGTGCCTGGCACACGGCAAATAAACAGTTATAAATAGCAGGCATGAGCAGACCAAGCGGACCGGACCAGAGACCGCCTCGAAGGACCGACAACTTCATCCCCATAGCTGCCACCATAGCCGCTTGTGGCGCACAAATTAAATGCTACATTCAATGCCATTTCGAAATCATTTCGAGTACCCCAGCCCCAGCGCCCGGTGGGCTTTGGGGGGGATGTGGATCTGGGATTCGTTGGCTTGGACTCAGCCGCCTGTCTGAAGGACGAAGCACAAAGTTGCCAGGACTCGACTTCTGCCGCAATTGAATTTCACTGGGGCAAAAAAATAAGTTAAGCCGCATTCGTGCCCTTTAGCTCGCCGGCCTGCCTTCCTTTTATCCCTTCCCCCCTGTCCTCCTGTGAGCTTGCAATTTGAAAATTACTTTCATTACGTTTAAAAGTTCATTAAAATTTCACATCCCTGGATCTCCTCCTGCTCGCCGTCGTCGGCGTCCATTTTCCTTTTCCCCAATTTCCATTCGCTCGTTGTCAGTTGCCGTGCATATTTACACACTTGACTGGCCCAAAAATAAAACCAGCAAAAATGAGGCTACAAATAAATTCGAGTATCAACCAAATGGCTGACCTATTTGGCCAGGTTGGTCGTTGGATACCAATGAGCGCTGATGACCATGATATTTCGACCCTGTCCGTTAGTTAGTGCTTTTACTAATTGAGGTACTTTTCGGCTCGGATTGCAGACTGGCTGCATTATGCAAGTAAATTAAATGAGTTAACGTAACAATTAATCCACTCGTAGCCATGGCAACAGCGATGGTGTAACAATATCCTGGCAAATGGCAATGCACTGAGGGGAAAAGTACACTTTTTGAGTTGGGAATATACAAAGGTTTTGGTATAAAGTTAATAAGATTTGAATATATATATAAATACATATACAGCTGTGTTCACGGAAATAGCAGTGCCCAACGACGTGCACGTTTAAGATCGGAAAATCCTGTTACAAACACTATTTTCATAAATTTTTTTTTCATAAAAGCTTAGTATATTTAATTATTAACAATACCACAATCATTTAATTTAGGTAACATAAACCCTTTAGAAGATATAGCTAATAACAACAAAAAAGGTCTATATTATGCCGTTCATTGAAATAGCAGTGAAAAACTAAAATTTTTCATACATTTAAAAATATCGTATAAGAAACCTATTTCTTCTTAAATTCTAATTGACTATGATCTAATATTTTGTTAAATAGCCTTTAGAACCTATCATAGCCTCATACCTGGGTGGCAAGGAGTCCACCAAGTCTTAGCAACGCTTGAGAGGATTATGGTCTCATTCCTCCTGCACAAATCGCCAAAGATGCGGCTTAGAAGTCGGAAACTTCTCTAATACGTAGCCCTTGATGTCCCCCATAAGTTTTCGATCGAAATAATATCCGGGGACTGTGCAGGCCATGGCATTGCATCCACCTTTCCTTTAAGAACCCACTCCTTGGCCACCTTGCTGGTATGATTAGGGTCACATTACTGCTGAAATGTCCAAATTAATGGCATATTTTCATCAGGATACGGCTGCTAGACAGTTTTTTAATATTTAGACATAGACATAATGGTATTTGATCCCACCGATCATATATACGGGACCTACAACGTTGTATGAAAAGTATACCCAAACCATGATTTTTAGGCCACCGTGTTTTACTGTCTTCAGCGTATGGTTTGGGGGGCACTATCTATTTGGAGGTCTTGTCTTGTCCTATTCCACCAAATAAAACCAGTTTGGAGTCATTTGTCCAAAGGATATTACGCCATTTGAATACTGGCAGTTCAAGTGGCTATTGGCGAACTCGGATCTTGCCTTGATATGCCTTTAACCAAGCAGTGACATTTTCCATGGACTTCGCGAATCTAAAATTTATTCAATAAGTCCCCGGCGAATGGTCCCATGACTGATTCCCATGCCAATTCCCGCTCATATATCCCTAGAGGATGCAAAAGGACGAGCTTTGCTGAAGCGAAGTACGCGTCGAGCCTGTACAATTGTGGTTTTGCGAATCGTACCTCGGTTTTTTTGGGTTCGGTTCATATTTTATGACTTATAAACTATTTTAAAAGAACAATTTGAAAGATTTAGAGACTCTTTACATGTTTTGCCCTTCTTTCTAGGCTAAGTAATCTGATACCTTTCTATCATGGAGCAGTGAGGTCCTGCGCCCACTAAAATAATTTTTTTTGCGTTGTAAAGGTGTATTATAGAATAAACTATAATAACGACCTTAATTAAAGTCATTTTTTACAAAATTAAAAGAAATTTCGGCACTTTTTGCGAAAGAAAATTAAAAACTGCTATTTCAGTGATCGGCCAAAACGAGCTGCATATGTGAAAAATATTAATAAAACATAAAAATAGAGCAAATCTAACGGAATTTTTTCTCGATTCTTATCTTTATGTTCCCTTTTACAAAAATTATGTGCAATAGATCAGCTTGCAAAAAGGAATATGTACAAAAAAACGTTTTGAAGTTGTTCCTCTGTCGCACTGCTATTTCAGTGAACACAGCTGTATATAAATAAATAAAAAAGATTCATTTAATAAAATAATAAATTAATTAATTCAAAAAAATCACTCGCATTCACTATAATTCCCAACATGTTCTAGCATCTTACGAGTGTTAACTCAGCTGAAGTTTTTGGACACTTAAAAAAGAGATTTAAGATTAATTTATATCCTGAATTTTCTATAAGAATTTTAAAAGTTATTTTGTGAAGACAATTTTTCACGCAATATAATAACAATAAATATCCAGAAATAAAGCTCTCAGTGTTACTGCCAATAAAACATCCCCGAACAAATGGCCAACGATGAGCGATGAACGATAATTAAATATCTCCCCTCATGCCCTGATCCCTCTACTTTCCTTATCCTAAGCCCAAAAAACTTAAGAGTGGAACTCTTAGCAATTAGGGTGCTGCTGGCTACCACTAATAAAAATGGGCGGGATGATGGCATCGCCTTCGACATCGGCATCTCGGCATCCTTGTCATCACAAGGAGCTGCTGCTCACTGTTCGCAACGAATTTCGCTTCATTTGCTCCAGCTTCGCTTATT